TTTTCCCAAGACATCCGACTCGCAGTGGGCGGCTGTTCAACGTGATGTGGCATCGCTCTCTGGTCCCGTTGCATGTATGCTCTCCGCCCTGGTCGAGGCAGAGGAAGGTGTTCCGGCAGTGGAGGAACTCTCCGTACCATCGGCGGAAGTCAAGGACGTGCTCCAGCGCACACTTGTCCTGGTCGGAGACCTGATGGCTTCGATCAATGGCATCCGCCGCCAGTCCATCATCGAGGCTGTGGACAAAGACGTGGCAAGAGTAACCAAAGGTATCCCACCGCCAGGCACTGGGAAGGAGCTGTTTGGTGAGGAATTTATCTCAGCCATCTCCACGAAAGTGAAATCCGAGGCGACGTTGAACGAGGCGCAGAGGCTGGCGCGCAAGCCACAGCCAAAGCCGGGTTTTCAGCGAAAGGGGTTCGCGTTCCAGTCATCGCGTACCCCGAAGCTGCATACCTTCTCCAGTCGCCAATACGGCAGGGATCGCCAGCAGCCGCCCCACCGAGGCTCATTTCGCCCCCACCGCGGAAGACCGCAAGGGCAGTGGACACCAGGGTCGAGGGGCAAGTCACCACCTCGCCCTCAGGCCCAGTAGTGGGCCACGCGGGGCAGCTCCGAGAATCGCCAACACCATCATCGGAGCTGCAGCTTCCCGTTCCTTGGCGATGGGAGGTACATCATCCACCTCCACCCGCTGGTCGCATTGCGGTGGCCTGGCAGAACTGGGAGCAACTGACGGCGGACCCATGGGTTCGCAGTACCGTCCGGCATGGCCTGCGTATCCCACTGCTGGCTCGCCCTCATCAGCGGCAGGCTCCCAGACAGATGCACCTGGCTCAGGCGGAGCAGGTTGCTCTGCAGGAGGCCCTGTCCAACATGGCAGCAGCGGGGGGCATCGAGCCCACTACAGTGCGAGACGCGACATTCAAGAGCACGCACTTCATGGTACCCAAGAGCGGTGGTCGATGGAGGCTAGTGTTCAACCTCAAAGCGCTGAACGAGTTTGTGGACAACTCCCATTTCAAGATGGAAACGTTGGCAGTCGTACCCGAGCTAGTTCAGCCGAACTGGTGGTTGGCGAAACTCGATCTGAAGGACGCCTTTCACTCGGTACCGGTGCACATTCACAGCCGACGCCTCCTCCAGTTCATGTGGAACGACCAGGTATGGCAGTACACTTGCCTCCCGTTCGGTCTGTCGGAGTCACCCCGCACGTTCACCAAGGTGCTTCGTCCAGTAGCAGCGTGGCTCCGTACAATGGGTCTGCTCATCGTTGTCTATCTGGACGACTGGCTGTTGATAGCACACTCCCCTGCTCTAGTGGCGCAGCAGATCCAGTTTGTGGCAGCCCTCCTAGAACGACTGGGCTTCATAGTCAACCGCCAGAAATCTATCATGGAGCCGACGCAGATCCTGACGTTTCTCGGAGTCGAAGTGAACTTGGTGCGCATGGAATTTTCCTTGCCTCGCGACAAGCTGGACAAGATTCGCTCCGAGTGCCGTCGCCTGCGCAACAAGGGATTTGCTACCCTCGCCGAACTGCGTTCACTGACAGGCAAGATGGTTGCAGCGCGCCCTGCAGTACACCTCGCTATGCTTCATGTCCGGGGACTGCAGTTCCTGCTGAACGAGGCTCTGGCACACCGTCTCGAGACCCAACAGTTGGACGAATGGGCCTGCAGCGACCTGCGTTGGTGGATAACGACGGCGGGGTGCCCGATACCCATGCACAGAGACCCACCCTCGGTCACCATGAGCTCAGATGCGTCCAATGTAGGATGGGGTGCTGCTGTGGATACGGCGCATGCCGGTGGGCCATGGTACGAGTCCGAAGCTGCGCACCACATCAACTGGAAAGAGCTGATCGCGGTATGGTTAGGTTTGAAAAGCCTGCTCCGCAACGCATCCAACCAAACCATCCGGTTGGAAATCGACAACACGACCACCGTGGCATACCTCAATCATCAGGGAGGCACTCATTCTCGGCGTCTGTGTACGCTTGCGATTCAGGTGCTGGAGTGGGCTGCAGCCCGACACCTGGAGCTGGAAGCGGTTCATGTGCCAGGAGCCCTGAATCACACAGCAGACTATCTGTCCCGTCACGTGGAGGAGACGGGCGACTGGATGCTCCCGTACCATGTGTTTACTACCATCCAACAGACATTCGGCCCGCTGAGTGTAGATCTGTTTGCGGCCCGCCACAATGCTCGCCTGCCCCGCTACCTGAGCTGGCGTCCAGATCCAGAGGCAGAAGCAGTGGATGCCTTCTCCACCCCTCCAGAGCTATGGGAGAATGCTTATGCCTTTCCGCCATTCAGCCTGCTCACCCGGTGTCTTCGCTACATCCGGCAACACGACATTCGACGGGTAATCGTGGTGGCTCCAGCCTGGCAGTCACAGGCTTATTACCCTCAGCTGCTCCGAATGTCCTGCAGTGCTCCGCTACGACTAGTATCGTCAGACGTTCTGGACCCACAGGGACAAGTCCATCCACAGGCACAATGCCTACGACTGACCGTATGGAGTATCTCCGGGAAGCAGCCTCGCTGCGAGGCCTTTCGCAGGGAGCTGTCACTCTCTGGCTCTCCTCCTGGCAAACTAGCACCAACGCAACGTATCAGTCAGCATGGCGACAGTGGGTGGGCTGGTGTTGCGAACGACGTGTGGATCCCGTATCGGCGGACCCTACTCAATTAGCCAACTTTCTAGCGACACAGTATGAGGCAGGCAAGCAATACCGTACCCTGAACGTGTACCGTTCGGCGGTGTCATCCACCGTACCGCCACTCCACGATAATGTACCCGTCGGACAATCGCCTAGCGTCGTCCGGGTTATGCGTGGTATCTACAATCAACGACCGCCATTGCCTCGCTATTCACGTACGTGGGACGTGGCCACTGTTCTAGAATACATTCGGTCATTGGGCCCGAATACTGCTTTGACCCTGTCGCACCTGTCCTGGAAGCTGTGCATGCTGCTCGCACTGGCTAAGGCAGCAAGAGTAAGTGAGATCTGTCACTTGGATATCCGCGCAATGCGCTTCCTGGCAGATGGTGTCGAGTTTGAGCTGACTCACGTCACCAAAACACAACGCTCTGGCGGCCCGCGGAAGTTCTTTGTGCCAGGTCTGCCGGCTGATCCGATCCTGTGCCCAGTGGAATGCATCAAAGCCTATCTGGATGTGACTAGGTCCAGCCGCACTACACCAGCGCAGAGTGCTCTCGTTGTGTCCACTCGCCGACCCTTTCAGCCAGTCTCGACCTCAACTGTCGCCAGATGGGTGACAACACTGCTCCAAGCAGCGGGTGTTGAAAGTGACTTCTCAGCCCATTCTACGCGGAGTGCCTCCACTAGCGCTGCACGACAAGCCAGGGGTGTCATTGGCGGATGTGTTGGCGACAGCTGACTGGTCACGGCCCAACACATTCATCCGCCACTATTACCGACCGCACAGCCAAGCTTCTTTTGGCCAAGCCGTCTTGACGGTTAGCACTGGGTGAGGAGTCTTCTACAAGTGCGGACTGTGGTTCCGATTTCTATGCATGGTTTCTCATAGTGATCATGCCTTGCACGCCTGCTCCCTGATTATTTCACTATCCATGCCGTTTCTTTGCTTGTGTGGAACACTACAGTTGAATCTGTTTCATATTGATTTGAGAAAGTGTATCTGTCCTCAGCGGTTATAACATGCTGTTTCCTTCCAGCTTCTTTCTCTTGACAGAGTGTAGTGTCGATGGCAACATACATTAGCCATTAATTTCATACCTTGCTACTCATGTGAGGTCTTTTCTTTAAACATCACACTGTCACATTCGTAGCCGGAGCCTCCGAAGTGTAATTAGGAATTCCGCTAGGACCTGAAAGGTCTGACGTGGAATTCAGGTTACACTAGGAGGTGAAGGCGGAGAATGTGACAGTGTGTTCCCACCCGCGCCGCCCCTGTCTCATTCTCCGCTGTCAGACGTTGCCTTTTGCTTGTCCATAAATGAGCTCATCAAAGGCCAAAGGAGTGAGGGAAAGGGCGGGAATATCAAGGGGACGAGGTTGGAGTTTGTGTAAATTTTCTCTTTAAATCGCTGTGAATTATTTGAAAAGCGAAGATTTGAGGCCTAACACACACTGTCACATTCTCCGCCTTCACCTCCTAGTGTAACCTGAATTCCACGTCAGACCTTTCAGGTCCTAGCGGAATTCCTAAGTTTTGGGTCGGTGCCGAATATAGCCGAAATTAAATAGCTGCCGAAAATTTGTATATTTACAGTATCTGATTGTACCACACGGAGTGAATCGGAATAGGACGGCCAAGACAGTTACCTATGCACACCCTACACTTGCTGGGGTAACCAGTATAGACAGCACGCTGCTTTGATCAAAGCAGACACTAGATGCACTGGTACCTTGAAGTGAAATTGGAGTTATTTTACCAACCAGCCAGACGTACCAACAACCTCAGCCACGAAAGCTATAGTAACGACACACTGGATTGTGGAGCCGAAACTAGTCCAACTTCCAAAATGCTTTGGCAAGAGGGTAGCCTTCCGACAGGTGTGGCACACACACACACACACACACGTGGTCATGGTAAACACTGCCATTACAGTCACGTGTCCCCTTGCGGGGGCCGACAATACGAGCGACGGCAGTCAGCTGAGAGAGAGGTACTAGGTCAGGGACTCAGGCCAGGACCATGTTCGAGAGAGCCATCTCTGGCAGCTGTGGATCTGGCTTATCATCGGAAACGATTCCTACGGCTGCCGCTTGACACACACACCACACACACACACACACACACACACGCACACACACACGCACACGCACACACACACACACACATTTAAACGCGCGCACACCGGCACACCATGTACCACACACACACACACACACACACACACACACACACACACACACACACACACGCACACACACACACACACATGCAGCTCCCAACCCCTCATGCCCCCCCTCCCCTTACACACACAAAAGATGCGCTGAGCAAAAATTCAGAGAGTCTGGTCAAAGATACGAAAATCGATCATGGATGTTCGCTTCACCACAGGCTCGCAAACATATGAACTGGTGAGAGCAAAAACATTTCAAGTTGCCATGGCATATACATTGTACATTGTACGTAGTAGAGGACCAAGGCCAGTAGAATTGGGCATGCGACAACAGTACACAACCAGCTAAAATACTGTCGTGGACGTGGAAATCCAGTCGAGTGCACCCTCACTGCATACAGAACGTTGCGCGCACTGTGCACTGGTTGTTCCGCATCCGTACTCACGGCTGCATGGCCAGCACCCTGGGGTCGCTTGACCTCCGACCGGATTTCCATGTCCACGACAGTACAAAGACGGGGATAAAGTCAGCTAGCAACAGAGCAGCAGTGTACAGTTCATACTACGTCCACTAGTGTTGCTCACTGTGCGTACAGTCGTGTGTACTGTGTGAAGGTGATTGTCAGGAATAAAATCGAACAGAACTGCTCCGCGCGGTGTCTATTCAAGCTAGAACTTGCAGTTGGCCATAGGAGTTTCAATTGTCAGCGACGGGCTAGGCTTCAACGGATCAATGCCGTCGCGGCGAGGAAATGATCAGTACGCCAGTCAAGCGACGGGGTCATATCAAGTAATCAAGAATGAAATTGGACAAAATAAAACCAGCCGTTTACATGGCAGTGGTGGAGGGGGTGAGGCGTGAAGGGGAAGGGAAGGTAAGGGATACAGGATGGTAAGACTGGCGGCCATTGCACCTTGTGACTTGTTTTTTGTATTGGCGTCAGCAGCTCTCCGCCTCACTACAAGACGAGGCTGCCGGCACAGACGTTGTTGTCGTAGCAATGGACAGGGAGCGGTTCCCGGAGCTACTCAATACAGACGTGTCAGTGGATGCCGACCTCGCTAAGCTTGATATCTGTGGAAACGGCAGAGAAAATGGACAACACAAACAGGCTTTCATGAAGTAACTACTACTTTCAGAACCAAAAAGAGTTACTACTGGAGATCTGGGGCTGCCCATGTTGCAGTGTGCGTGATATTGTGTGTGTGTGTGTGTGTGTGTGTGTTTTCTGAGCTCCGTTTCTGGCTTTCTATAAAGTTTCCTGCCTGCCCAGGACGATTCTGGCATAGCCAGAGTCGACCCTGGAGCACCCTCGTACACTGACAAGGTAGTGCTGAATGATGGGAATGTGGAATCGCGATGTAGCTTTCAGGACAAAATTATCGATATTGCCACTGCTGTGTCGGCCGTGGTCCACCACTCATAGTGGAGTAGATGTCCCTCGAGTGCCGTACTGTCATCTACGCTCAAAGATAGCAGTGGTGGGAATTGTGGATTGGTTTGTGGAGTGCTGGAACGAGTTGGTTACAGTGGAGGGGTCGATCAAGTGCGAAGAGGAAGGTCGCAATGGCGGAATGGTGGAAATTGAAACGTTTCAATCTTTCGTCGTCATGAGTACACTGGTCAAGCGTTGTGGAAGTCTGTCGGGTTTGCAAGGCCCTGACCTGCCGCTTACATATCCAATGTGGAAGAACTGCCAGTGGAGTCCTGGTGGGATTTCGGATGCCAACACTCCTTTTCCTTGGTGGATTCTTTCATGGACAGTTTTTTTGTGACGTGAAATTTGGCAGTGTTTTCTTTTTTCTCCTGTTCTTTTTCAGTCGTTGTCACTGTCAGGTTTTTGTTGTAGTACAGCACGGCCGTTCTACTCCATTGTTTCATCTGTTTTGCCAGTTCTGCTGGCTGATTCTCTTGGTTTGCCATAGTGCCCATGCTTGGGTGGAGGGCGGGCGTGACCCGTTTGGGTAGCTGTGTCATACCAGTAGTACTAGTGTGTGTGTGTGCGTGCGTGCGTGCGTGCGTGGGTGCGTGGGTGCGTGCGTGCGTGCGTGTGTGTGTGTGTGTGTGTGTGTGTGTGTGTGTGTGTGTGTGTGTGCCAGCTAGTTCGGCTGGTAGGTACACTTATGCCTGATTGTGTTGGGTCTGTTGCCAACAGGCTCGGCTGCTTGAAGGTGTAATGTTGTACCTGCCACCTTTGTTGGTTCCAGGGTTCATATACTTTCTATTTGAAGTATACATACCTGTTAACCATGGACTGCTTCTGGCTAGATTAACTCTTGTGTAATCAATGGTGCTAGTGAAGCTTTTATCAGATCCATTCTGATTTAGCCACTAACACTAGTAGCAAGTATTACCTTCACTGGGGGCAGGGGTAACTGCAGTTGGATCCCGGGACGGATACCTGATGCCGTCAATCCTTTTTCTGCACCTTGTCCTCACCCACTTGCTGAGGTGTGGTGAGCCCATAAGTGGGATCATTTTCAAGTCCACCCAGAGTTTTGGGGATTTCAGGGGTGTCGGCCGTTGGGCGGTTCAATAACCAATTGAGTCATCTTTCTAAGATTCCTTTTGAGTCTCTCTCCCCTCTCCCGGGGAGACTCACGTGACCAGTTTTGGCAGTGAGCAACAAGTACAAGTACAGTGTGTGTGTGCGTGTGTGCATGCGTGGGTGAATGGGTGGGTATGCGCAACGATAGTCTGGTTGCTTCCCACCGGCTCTGTGTAGTCTCCCAGCAGGTATGGGTAGTCTCCAAGCAGGCATGGGTAATCGCCCAGCAGGCATGTACAGTCTCCAAGCAGGCATGGGTAGTCTCCAAGCAGGCATGGGTAGTCTCCCAGCAGGCATGGACAGTCTCCAAGCAGGCATGGGTAGTCTCCAAGGAGGCATGGGTGGTCTTCAAGCAGGCATGGGTAGTCTCCAAGGAGGCATGGGTAGTCTCCAAGCAGGCATGGGTAGTCTCCAAGCAGGCATGGGTAGTCTCCCAGCAGGTATGGGTAGTCTCCAAGCAGGCATGGGCAGTCTCCAAGCAGGCATGGGTAGTCTCCCAGCAGGTATGGGTAGTCTCCAAGCAGGCGTGGGTAGTCTCCAAGCAGGCATGGGTAGTCGCCCAGCAGGCATGGACAGTCTCCAAGCAGGCATGGGTAGTCTCCAAGGAGGCATGGGTGGTCTTCAAGCAGGCATGGGTAGTCTCCAAGGAGGCATGGGTAGTCTCCAAGCAGGCATGGGTAGTCTCCAAGCAGGCATGGGTAGTCTCCCAGCAGGTATGGGTAGTCTCCAAGCAGGCATGGGTAGTCTCCAAGGGGGCATGGGTAGTCTCCTAACAGGCATGGGTAGTCTCCTAGCAGGCATGGGTAGTCTCCAAGCAGGCATGGGTAGTCTCCAAGCAGGCATGGGTAGTCTCCCAGCAGGCATGGGTAGTCTCCAAGCAGGCATGGGCAGTCTCCAAGCAGGCATGGGTAATCTCCCAGCAGGTATGGGTAGTCTCCAAGCAGGCATGGGTAGTCTCCCAGCAGACATGGGCAGTCTCCAAGCAGGCATGGGTAGTCTCCCAGCAGGTATGGGTAGTCTCCAAGCAGGCGTGGGTAGTCTCCAAGCAGGCATGGGTAGTCGCCCAGCAGGCATGGACAGTCTCCAAGCAGGCATGGGTAGTCTCCAAGGAGGCATGGGTGGTCTTCAAGCAGGCATGGGTAGTCTCCAAGGAGGCATGGGTAGTCTCCAAGCAGGCATGGGTAGTCTCCAAGCAGGCATGGGTAGTCTCCCAGCAGGTATGGGTAGTCTCCAAGCAGGCATGGGTAGTCTCCAAGGGGGCATGGGTAGTCTCCAAGCAGGCATGGGTAGTCTCCAAGCAGGCATGGGTAGTCTCCAAGGAGGCATGGGTAGTCTCCAAGCAGGCATGGGTAGTCTCCAAGCAGGCATGGGTAGTCTCCCAGCAGGTATGGGTAGTCTCCAAGCAGGCATGGGCAGTCTCCAAGCAGGCATGGGTAATCTCCCAGCAGGTATGGGTAGTCTCCAAGCAGGCATGGGTAGTCTCCCAGCAGACATGGGCAGTCTCCAAGCAGGCATGGGTAGTCTCCCAGCAGGTATGGGTAGTCTCCAAGCAGGCGTGGGTAGTCCCCAAGCAGGCATGGGTAGTCGCCCAGCAGGCATGGACAGTCTCCAAGCAGGCATGGGTAGTCTCCAAGGAGGCATGGGTAGTCTCCAAGCAGGCATGGGTAGTCTCCAAGCAGGCATGGGTAGTCTCCCAGCAGGTATGGGTAGTCTCCAAGCAGGCATGGGTAGTCTCCAAGGGGGCATGGGTAGTCTCCAAGCAGGCATGGGTAGTCTCCAAGCAGGCATGGGTAGTCTCCAAGCAGGCATGGGTAGTCGCCCATCAGGCATGAACAGTCTCCAAGCAGGCATGGGTAGTCTCCAAGGAGGCATGGGTGGTCTTCAAGCAGGCATGGGTAGTCTCCAAGGAGGCATGGGTAGTCTCCAAGCAGGCATGGGTAGTCTCCAAGCAGGCATGGGTAGTCTCCCAGCAGGTATGGGTAGTCTCCAAGCAGGCATGGGTAGTCTCCAAGGAGGCATGGGTAGTCTCCAAGCAGACATGGGTAGTCTCCAAGCAGGCATGGGTAGTCTCCAAGCAGGCATGGGTAGTCTCCAAGCAGGCATGGGTGGTCTCCAAGCAGGCATGGGTAGTCTCCCAGCAGGCATGGGTAGTCTCCCAGCAGGCATGGGTAGTCTCCAAGCAGGCATGGGTTTCAAAGTTCGAAACACCATGACTGTTGACAATGTTGAATGGTCTCTGCTGGAATGGTCTCTGCTAGGATGATCTCTGCTGGGATGAAACAATACGTACATCATACCAGAGTGGTAGGGCATTGATAGGTGGTATGAGGAATGGCGTCAGTCCGAGAGAGTATCAGGTGGGAGCTTGAACTGAGTTGATCATGCGCATCTATTTTGTATTTTGTATTTGTATTTATGGATTCTCCACAGGCCTTAGCCTAAATCCAGGGAGTCTCCGTCGCATCTAGCAGGGAGATTGAACTGAATTGATCAGCATGATTTTATTGACATACTTGTAAATTCTCTTGCAGATCCCAGCATTGCAGGGCTAGACAAGGCCATTGCAAACTACATCATGTCAGCTTACCTCTTTATGGCTTTGCAGCTTTGGATGATGATGATGGTAGTGATCATCAGTATGTTGATGTTGCTGATGGCTATGCATCTCCCCGGCTGCCATCTGCTCCCGTGCGCTACCCCTTCTCTGCTGGCCCGCCAACGAACGGTTTTCATGGTGACTGAGGTTGCTATGGCGACGTCGCTCCTCCTTAGCAACGTGTTGCTGGGCTGAGCGCTTTCTTAGCAGATGGGTGGCAAAGAGGGTCGCAACACTCCCCAGCATCAGTGCGGATACCGTCACGACTGAGAGGAGGAGAGTAGAGAACCCTGTGACTGCACATACGGAGCAAATTGTACACACAACAAGAAATGGTCCAAAAATGGATGTACAGTACTGTCTGGTGACGAAGAACTGAGGGAGGGGTGGGGGAGAGTGGGTGAGAGTCAGGGAGAGTGGGGGAGGGGTGGGGGAGAGTGGGGGAGAGTGGGGGAGGGGTGGGGGAGAGTGGTGGAGGGGTGGGGGAGGCGTGGGGGAGAGCAGGGGAGGCGTGGGGGAGAGTCAGCCTTGTATGGTCTTATTTTTCATGTACAGTAGTCTATACACAGTTGAGTAACAGTGTGTACATGTATTATGCTGTGCTAAGTGAAATTTTAGTCTGTTCATTCCTCAGCGCTACATTCCTCAGCGCTACATTCCTCAGCGCTACATTATTTTGCCCAACAGGACTGTACTGGACTTTGTGTGGTCGATAAAGTGCATGTTCCTCCCTGGACTCGTGGGGAATGTCAATTGTCAACAGCCAAATGGCCAGGAAAAAGGAATTGGTCCATTCGAATATTAGACTCGGATAGAGAGCCTAGGATTGGAATTAGAAAGAGAGAACCATAAATTCGCAAGTTAGGGGTCGTCCGTATTTTTCGAAAAATTAAAAAAATCAGTCCTCACGCAAAAAGGGGGTGGGTGGTCAAGAGCGCTGGCGGAATTTAATTTTTGGATTATTCGTAACTTTTTTTCTTTCTTTTGACTTCGTGACTTTCATACATTTTGTTGCACTAACTGTGTAGTGTACTGTAGACATAGTGTAGGATCGATTGTCGCAAACACCAGTATGATGAACATGACTCTTCATGTAGTTGTAGGACGTCAATGGCCGTCGGTAGACCTACTGCTCACTGACTTAGCTACTAGTACATGTACTTGACATAGGTGCAATCAGTGAATATGATGCCAGGAGTTCTTATTTTCGAGCTGGGCATCGGTAAAAATAAAAAAATTAATGGAAAAAATGGGGGGTGGGTGGGTCAGAGACAATTTTGCACGAGGACGGATTTTTTTAATTTTTCCATAATTATGGACGACCCCTTCTCCGTTTTGTCCAACACTAACGACTTTAAGCAGCACGTTGGTGAATCAGAATGTGCAACAGTTAGCACAACACTGACCGATGTGATACTGACATCAGGTGGTTAAATATCAGTACAGTCAGACCTTGATTATCCGGTCCTCTTTTATCCGGATCCCTCGCCATCCGGAAGAAAATCTGTTGGTTACCGATTTACAGCATATGGCATGCATAGATACAGTATTGTATGTTCGATTATCCGATTCCCTCGCCTATCCGGATACTTTTTGTGGAAAACGGATGTGTGCGGTTAAGCGAGGTCTAACAGTATCACACCGGTATCACATTGTCAGTACACAGCCAGTATCACACCGGTATCACATTGTCAGTACACAACCAGTATCACACCGGTATCACATTGTCAGTACACAGCCAGTATCACACCGGTATCACATTGTCAGTACACAGCCAGTATCACATCGGTATCACATTGTCAGTACACAGCCAGTATCACATCGGTATCACATTGTCAGTACACAGCCAGTATCACACCGGTATCACATTGTCAGTACACAGCCAGTATCACATCGGTCAGTGTTGTGTTAATTGTTGCACATTTTGATTTACCGACATCCTGCTTATAATCGTTTGTGTTGGACGAAACGGATGACTTGTGAATTTATGGTTCTCTCTTTTCTCAATTCGAATAAGGCTGCTGATTCCAAATTGCTCTATGAACAGCCTACATGAATGTTGTCGTTCCTGGTGTCGATTAAAGGTCGCCTGTCAAGAGCATTATTATACTTAGGTGGGGGTGGGGTAGAGGATGCGAGGGGGTTGGTAACGTCGGGGGGGGGGGGAGGGGGGGGGGTAGGTAGGGAGGGGGTATACATGTAGGTAGAGGGAGGGGGTATACATGTAGGTAGGGGGAGGGGGTATACATGTAGGTAGGGGGGGGGGTATACATGTAGGTAGGGGGGGGGGGGGTAAGAGAATATACACTGGTCTGACACTATCAACACTGCACTGTCGCAAAAGAAGGATCCACGAGCGGGATTCGAACACAGCACCCCTGTCTTTTCGGGACAGTGCCCTACCGATTAGGCTACCGGGGATCACACACACTCATGGGTCCTTCTTGCTACACTGCTCCCCCACCCCAACAGGCTGTGTCCTCACGCCATACCCACTCGTGGGGGGGGGGGTACGATGGGTCGTGGGTTCGAGCCATTGCCAGGCGCCAATGTTGCATTGCAACAGTACGTAGAAGTAAGCTTAGTTACGGTGTAACCATGTGCCCGGTTTCCTCTTGCTGCAACTGTGTACAGAGGTACATGGATATAGCTCCGGCACGTGGGCAAAAATGCATGGCATACTGGCTGCGATAAGCTGCATGGACTGGGCTTTCTGCCATCACTGACAACATTATCGTTAGTCATCTCCACTGTCATTGCATCCTACGGCATCCTCTCTGTAATGAGCACCATAGTGAATATGCATGCAGGCAATGCGGCTAACCTGTCGGCTGTGAATCGTCATCTTCACTAGCACGCGTTGTTGGGCCACTACCTAACACCTCAGTATAGACGGATAGAGAGGGCATTCCGGTAGCCCCGGCGGTGTCGTCATACTGTGTTGCTGCTGCTGGTGATGGTGCTGCTGTGCCAGGGAGGTTGTCCTGGTTTGTTTGAGTTGGTATGGCGGTGCCCATGTTGCCATAAGAGGAGTTTGATGATGGTGGTGGTGATGATGGTGGTGGAATGTAGAAGAGACTGGAAGAGGCTTTAACCGCAACCTCTGCCTCCAAAAGGGCATAGTCCGGCTCGCCGTAGTTTATGCAGTTACGATGGATGCGCTCGCAAAGCTGGACACGAGTGTGCGTGTGAGAGAAAGAGAGGGAGAGAGATCATGAAGCAGACAGACACACAGTCCGACACACAGTCCGACACACAGTCAGACACATGCGCACCCAGGGAGCGGAGAGAATTGTGATAGCAAGAATGATAGCCAGAGGAAGAGCTCTACGGAGGAAGGCTGGCTAAAGGGCCCTGACCTGCTACATGATTGTGGCTTGTTACAGGACTTTAACCTGCTACAGGAATGTGACTTCCTAGAGGGATGTGACCTCCCACCGGACTTTAACTTGCTACAGGACTGTGACCTGCTACAGGGATGTGATCCAATACAGGAATGCGATTTCCTACAGGGATGTGACCTCCTACAGGACTTTAACTTGCTGCAGGGCTTTAACTTGCTGCAGGGCTTTGACCTGCTACATGGGCTGTCGCCCACTACAGGACTGTGACCTGCTACAGCTCTGTGACCTGCTACAGGAATGTGACCTGCTACAGGAATATGACCTGCTACAGGAATATGGCCTGCTATAGGGCCATGACCTGCTACAGGATTGTGAACTGCTGATCTTATAGCATTATTTGCCATAGGACAGAATTTGACCATGCAGCAACAAAAGTTTGACTGGCACCGGCTGGTTCCGTTGCCGATGACTGCCACACTGCACAGACAGTGCAGCCCTATGCATGCAGCCCTCTAAATGATGACAGGCACACAGCTGGTGCCTAGCCATGACCACTTATGAAATGGCACGATGGCCTCATAGAAGCAAAAGCATTGTGAAGGCCTACATAGACACGTCTTGAGTGTGATAATGATGGGTTATAAAGTACTGTCTCTTTAGGACGAACACCAATTGACCGATGGTTTTGTGCGCAATCACGGGAGTTCTTCTTATCCATATATCATACCCAGTGAATACCCAATGATGTATTTCTATTGGATACACACAGTACACAGATATGACGAGAGCAGATGTGTATGGCCCTAGAGAGTACTGCGGAGGCACGTTATGCAGTGAGACCTCATCAAGAAGAACACTGATAAGGCAAACTTTCGCTTTAGAAGAACTAGTAGCCATAACTGTATTGGATAGATTACTGTGTATTCACTGGGTATAAATATAGGGATAAGAAGAACTCCCGTTGTTGGGAACAAGTATCATTTGTGCCTTGGTGTTTGTTCTAAAAAGGTTTGATGGTACTTACAGTGTGCGAAGTGGTGTTGGTATGGACGGCACAATGTACGACAGTGCATACCAGCTGCACAATGGGGTTGTTATCCCCGCTCTGTTCTCCCTGGTTGCCTGCGCCACCACTCTCACGCCCGGGCAGCACTGCACTGAAGCGGAACACCCTGTTGTCCGGCGGTGGAGTGAGGATTGTGGTGATATCACTGGCCTTACGGCCTGCGTTTGCAGGATGGTGGCAACTGGAGAGAAGGAGGGACGACACATAAAACAGACATGATTAGAATTAGACACCTTGTACTCAAGGGGACTCCAAGCAGACTGCTTCAAACTTTGGGGATCTCATCAGCGGAGAGCAGAGCGGCGGCTGGCTGAACATTTAACGATGAAATGCAAGCAAGCATAGAGATTCCTTCTGACAGCTGTTTCGGTCATTGAGACCTCATCAGAAGAGTTGAGTTGTTGAGTGACTGGAAAAAAGCACCTATTTTACCGAGAAACGCAAGATTATCTGATGTGGTCTCAATGAAGTTTAGAGACTTGCTTCTTATTTTTATACCAAGGGCAAACATTCGAGACATTGACAATTGAAATTGCAGTCATGGTAAGCGTGTAGTTGTGGTGGCGATGGTGGTGATTTTAGAAGAGGTTAACGGACTGTGTAGAGTGCTCAATACGGAAAGGCAGAGCTAGCTCCAACCAGAACAAGAGGATGAAAATGTTAGAGGTTTAGGGACTAACAAGATGGCAGTCTACGTCAGATGAAGGCAAACAGCTGTGCATGGGTGATGTGATGTGACCAGTGAAATCATGAGGTCAGTCCTCTGGTGAGGTAGGGTCTCTAGTACACTGGCTCATACCTCGCTTACCCAGGCAGTCTGGGACGGGGGCACTGCACATAACTTTGAAATGTCCGCAACTCAGAATCACATACATGTTGATGAGGAAAGGCCGTAGATAGGACATAATTACGACGTCACTATTTCCACAAAAAGTGACAAAAGAGTAGTAATATTTCCACTGAAACTTGCTCGAAGGATGCCCGGTAGACCGAAGTGCCTGTAACTTTGGGATCCGGATAACCGAGGCATGAGTGTGATTACATGTGTCAGTATCCTCACCCATTCTGGATCACTGGTCTTGGACTGCCAGACGATGACTGGAATTTACAATCCACTGGATAGACCATTAGACCTCGCTTTGACACTGTAGCATAGCATGAATACACACAGAGACATGCACACATACACACACACACACACACACACACACACACACACGCGCGCGCGCGCGCGCGCGCGCTCACACACGCACACACATACATACACACACACACACACACACAAAAATGGCTAAAAAATGTGTTGCACGCCTGTCATATGGACAGGCAGATTTCCAGCTGAATGGCTTATATCAAGAGTACATGAAAACCAGAGTGTGCAGCTCGGATGGGTTGCTGTCACGGCGGAATTCCGTGATTACATCATTTTAGTTATGTAGTGCGTACAAGCAGGATTCAAGCAGGTCTCTTTCTGCACAACTGCAGCTCAGTTGTACGCACTACGCCATTTCCCGCCTCAGATCTGCGCCAAATATGATGTAATCACGGAATTCCGCCGTGACAGACACCCATAGCAGAAAGGGCCCCAAGCTGCACACTCTGGTTTTCATGTACTCTTGCTTCTATCAGTGCTCAGTGTGGCGACAGCCTAACGGTGACTAACATGACACTGGTTGACAGAGATTCCACACTGCAAGTCCAGTTCCTCTAGATGAAATCTAACACAATGTGCAAAGCTGGGGCCGTGGACCATTTATCATTACATAGGAATTATTTGGTTACGTGTCCACGTTTCTGCCACAGCTGAATCAGCCACCGCTTGCACAAGTGCCTGAAAGCCGAAGCGCCGGGGGGGGGGGGGGGAGATGTGAGTGCACATAAAAACACTGATATAGAAATTGCACCGATGTTCTTTCTCGTTTCCGTGCTTCGTCTTTGGTTTTGAAACCGTTAACCGTAGGTTTGTCCATCCATCTATTCAGTTTGGTTTTGATTTTCTCCGATGATGACAATGGATTTCTGGACTGCGCCTCTAGAGTGTAGATTGTTGGCGCTTTGGTTGGAGGCCAATACAAGGCACCAAATGACGATGAAGAAGAAGAGAGAGAGGATTGCAACGGAGTTGAAGAAATTTGTAACTTTCGACTCGAGTATGTGCCCATGCCCGCCTGGCTGGATCGTGCGCATACCACATAAAATATAGATAACAAGGTGAAACACCTGAAAGCCGGCGACAATAAGCTTCTTTTGAACCATGTGAAGCAACTGCAGCACAAGAACGTTTCCACTGGGTCGGCAGCTGATGGTGATGATAATGGTGGCCCAGAACTTGTGGAGATTGACTGGAAGAAATTGTAGGAGGCACATTGCTTGCAATTTGATCATGTATGTATCATCTCCATTCCACACAGTCCGTCCTTGAGAGTCCTTGAAAGTCCCTGGGTGTCTCTGAGCGTCTCTGGGTATCCCCGGGTGTCCCTGGATGTCCCCGGGTGTTCCCGGGTATCCCCGGGTGTTCCCGGGTATCCCCGGGTGTTCCCGGGTATCCCTGGGTGTTCCTGGATGTCTATGGGCGTCCCCGGATGTCTCTGGGTGTTTCCGGCTGTCCTTGAGAGTGTCCCTGGGTATCCCTGGGTATGCCTGGGTATCCCTGGGTATGCCTTGGTATCCCTGGGTAAGCCTGGGTATGCCTGGGCATCCCTGGGTATCCCTGGGTAAGCCTGGGTATGCCTGGGTATCCCTGGGTAAGCCTGGGTATGCCTGGGTATCCCTGGGTATCCCTGGGTATCCCTGAGTGTCAGTGACCATGCTAATGATCTAACTCCTCTTTGTACCTTGTTTCTACTCAAGGTATATGCTTCAGCAAAACTGGCCGCTGGCACATTGGCTTGCTGTTCAGACAGAGACCGATATGATACTCATGTTGCTGCGGAAAGGTGAAAGAGAACCATAGCAACCCCACTGCAAACAATGTGATGCTTCTCCAGCAAGAAAGGGCACCCTTACGCCCCAGAATACAGTATGCGGAAGCAACTTGACAAGCCAGGCCAGCGGAGGACGTAGTGCCAGAGCTAGGAACGCTGGCTCCATGATGGACCGGTTCCTGGACACGCTACAGTCAGGCCAGTGCAGAAAGAGAGGAGGGGGCAGATCGCCAGGCACAAGCTGCCAGAGATCACGATTTCACTATGGCACAGCAGCACGAGGAGCATAGCACTATGCTGTAGTCACAGATACTGGAGACAACTGTGTGGAATTCAGCAGAATCAGCAGCAATTTGTGTCCAACAATCTTGACTTGTCAGGTAAAACTATTGAAGAATTTCCTATATCCCATGCGGATCATGATCCAGTGCATGATGCCAACACCACTCCATGCACCTGGGCTGCAAAGAGCACCCCAAAAACACGGTTTTTGATTGCCAAACTCTGGAATATTGGGCAAAATGTCCAGAATACGACATTATCGTCATCAATATCTTCATCATCTTGCTTCTACTGGCACACTGGTCTTGGGGCAGCAGCCGACATGGCAGAATGCTCAACATTAGGAAGCAAAACCTGGCTCTTGCATACCCAGCAAATATATAGAACACAACGTTGCCACTCAGGATAAATGCCGTCTTCGCTTCTTCATGAAAATTATACAGTGCAAGGCGTAGATCTCTGCCGTTTTGCTTTCCAATTTCTTGTGAACATTGGCGTGTTTCGAGATATTCAAAAATTGACGGGCAAAAATCAAGCCATTCAAGCGCATGACATCTTCTGTGACTGTAGTGCATGGGTTTTTCAAGTAGGGTTCAGATGAAAGACAATTTTGATATCGGTTCGAATGGCATATCTCTCGCTTGCATGCGATGAGCCAAACCGCACTCCAGCTTTCTCCTGTCGGTGTCACATCCATGTACACAACCGAGAGGACTACTCACAAGCAGTTCATGGCACTAACAGCATTGAACACTGCTCTTCTTTCACATCGTGAATACAACACGACAATTGAAAATGACCAAATTCTGCAGTGATCGGCCTTGTCCCTCGCAGAGCTAAGCAGAACGTGCGTCATCACTGCGCTGGTCGCTATGGCGACGTGATCATACAATTGGCGATTTGGCAAGTTTGGCTTATTGTATGCAAGCGAGAGATTTGCCATGCGAACCAATATCAAATTGTCTTTCTTCTGGACCCTACTTGAAAGCTGGATGCACTTCCCCTTTAACAGCAAGCACGCAAGCCAGCTGATCCCCAGAAATAAAAAGCCAAAAGTAGCTGGTTTTTGATGTGATCATGGCCTTAGAAAGTAAGTTCAAACATTTCCAATACCACCCACATACAAATATGTCAGTGAGAAAAACAACCAGCTTAGGATGTTTCCCTGGTGTCAGGCCACCACCAATGCCACCATGTCTGATATACCAAAAGTGGCTGGTGCAGAGCCTAGCGACAAGGCTTTAGCTCTGGTATAAACTCCCGCCCTCCCCTCCACCCCTCCCCTCCACCCCTCCCCTCCTCTCCCCACATACACCTAACAAACTCCATTTCGACCACTACCTTGCCACTTTTTTGTCCATAACATCGAGCAACGCATCTCTGGTTAGTGACATCATCCCCGACAAACAAAGAACCAGTCAATCAAACAAACAACCAAACAAACACACAGACAAACACACAGACAAACGAACGAACAAACAAATACACAAACCTTTGTCACCGGCGTCCAGCTCAAAGTAGACTCTCTGGCCAACCCGTGCTGCTGCCCATGATCTGTGCGGAGTCAAAAACTTTTCACTCCGGTACGCTGTCAGCCGGCCCGTCTTGAGTGCCCGTTTTTCCAGGCTGCACCTCACGGGCACTCGGTAGTTCTCACGATACTCGCCACACCGAGTATTGACTTCATCACCGGCACCAGCACCGCCGTTGCCATCCGGACAATTCTCAATTGGACACCTCACATTCCTGAAGACGATCTGCAATCAGCACGCACAAACAAAGACACACACACACACACACACACACACATATACACACACACACACACACACATACACATACACATACACGCAAGTACGCATGAACGGAATGCATTGTGTTGGAGGGTAGGGCATGGTGTAGTGAAACCACGTGCAGAGGGCAATGCAGCATGCCAGTGGGGTAGACAAGATGGGCTAGTACAAGCCAGGATGTACAGGATTACAAAAGAAGACACAGAGAACACCAATGACCCAGTCTTGTTCAACTTGAATGAAGCAATTACATTCTGGGAGAGTTTTCCGTTACAGTACTGTCAGGTGCGGAAGAACAAACCGGCCAGAAGTTCACCAAACACAGCATACCAATGTATACATGGTAACTCTACCGTGCATAGACCACAGTGCAGGAAGATAAGGACGGTCTAGGCTACCAGGCTGACTCAAGTTCTTCGCAGACTAGCAGTACTGCGGACCAGTGCTATCCTTGGTCGACCATACTCTGCACATTCTCAACAGAGTGAGTGAAAATATCACCTTCAGTCTACCATTGCTGTAGCATGCACACCGTGCCTACCTCAGACTTGAGAACACCCTTGTCTCGCTTGACAATGCCGCACTTGGCGTGGCCAACGCTCAACGACAGAACTCTCTTGTCCCCGCCACTGCCACCGCCGCCGCCACCGCCAGTGCCGACGCCCTGCAGCACCGCCTCTAGCTTGCATTCTCGCTGCTCGCCCAGCGTCACCGTCATACCAGCGGTGTTCCAGCCTAACCGCTGTACTCCGGGCAGGCTCACAGCGACCGTGAACATGTCGCCGTCGCACTGCGCCTGAACCGTGCTGTGCAGCTGGCTACACGTGGTGGGCTGCTTGGCGTACGTCTCCTGGCAGCGTTCGTCCGCCGCCCCCTCCTGCCCAGTGTCAGGCACAAACAGCTCAAACAGATCAGCATGTGTCGTTTTGCCATACGCTGTGAGTGTAGTGCGAAGGTCTCTCTGGAGAATATCCAACAGCTGATGGCCCTTCACCAAGTGGTAGTGGCCGGGCAGCCAGTCTACGGAGAACTTGGCTTTGTAAGCCGGGCCGAATGACACCGTGGATTTTCCTCCCTGTAGGAATGTGTTCACACGCGTGCGCATACCCCCCCCCCCCACACACACACGTGTACGTGCACATGCACACATATACACACACATATGAGCTCGTAAACACACACAAACATACAAACACCCACCCCACATACACACACACACACACACACACATAAAACACACACACATAAAAACACACACACACACACACAAAACACACGCACATAAAAACACACACACATATAATACAGCAATTCATCCACACCACACCAATCTGATTAAAACCCTCAGGTGCACAACCGCTCAGCAGTCTGTAATGACTTTCGCAGTCATCTAAAACACACAACCACACTCAACTTCTCAAACACACAACCACACTCAACTTCGTCCTGTTTTCAACTAACTTGTACTAGAATAAAACCTACAGATAAAGTAGCAAAAGTTGCATCAGCATACAGTGTGAATGCCGCAAGGTCGTACGGTGCACGTGCGTACTATGCATGATGTCACCAGTCAGACATAAATGGCAATGGGGTAGATTGATGCATAGACAAAGGTCAAACACTGTAACACAAATATGGACCCAGATCCACTACACAGTCCATAGTGCAACACTGACAGTGAAATGCTCTGCGTCTAACTATACATGTAGACTTTTAAAGTGCAGAATCCTGACTTATCATGGCTATCTGAATCCGAGTGCTCGGGCAACACCGCTTATCTCGGATACGTGTGATAAGTGGAGAGAATGGGTGCGTTTCACAGGATCTCTGGGCTTTGGATCGGCTTTTGCATACACTTCACCATGATATGCCGGTCCCAATTCGGTAAAACCTGGCCAAATTTATCAATCCATATCCTTTGACCTTTCCTGCTGGAAATCCGACATGGAAGAACTCCACGGGTTGCGCACTGCAGGAGATGCTAATGTTTTCAAGGTGCCTACATGGTACCTCTATGCGTGCAAGACTGCAAAATTCTAGTGTGTCAGCTCGGGATGGATAAAGGCTAAGCTTGCAAGGTGGACACACATACACATGCACATGCACACACGCACACACGCACACACGCACACCTCGGACCTCAGACATGCCCATCGCGGAAGCGATGATAGCGAACAGCTATGTTAGACATAGCGACTTGTGCTGGGATTACACCATTCAACAGCTTGCAAGACTGATGAATTGACCGCCACTATTTTTAGCCTAGTATCCACCACACAGCTGTTTGAAGTGACTTTTTCTGGCCAGTGAATCCCTATTTTTCATTTTTCCATTTTTTTCTACACACACACACACACACACACACACACACTATCTCTCTATCTCTCTCTCTCTCTCTTTCTCCCTCTTTCTCTCTCTCTCTCTCTTTCTCCCTCTTTCTCTCTCTCTCTCTCTCCCTCCCTCCCTCCCTCCCTCTCCCTCCCTCCCTCCCTCCCTCCCTCCCTCCCTCCCTCCCTCCCTCCCTCCCTCCCTCCCTCTCTCTCTCTCTCTCTCTCTCTCTCTCTCTCTCTCTCTCTCTCTCTCTCTCTCTCCGTCCATTGCATTGTTTCATTATTATGCTTACCAGTTATAAAAGCTCTCAACTTACCGTCAGCTTGATAACTAGTGTTGACTGGTTGGTGAGACCGTATCCACCAATGTCCCAGTGGACAGGTTCTTGCGATCGGTTTATCAACACCACATTGACTGTGATGTGGTGTGAGGTCTTGGCCAGTCGAGCCACAATGTCCACTTCCACAATCAGCTTCTTGGACAGGTCAGTTGTTTTCACGGCCGGACGCATCGGATCGTACGGCGCGGCCACCTCGAGGACAAACAGGTGACGATTGGTCGACTGAAGAATGTTGTACGTGGGACACTGCGTGGCCGTGGATGCTGGGATGGCACATCCGGTGAATGTTTGCGCCGGCTTGGCATTTCGGACGCGTGACAGTCGGCGAATGCTCAAGAATGACAACAGCTTCAGTTCCATCTCTTGCTCTCCGTGTGATTTGGACACATTGTTACAGGACCAGGTAGGTGTCGAATCGTCCTTCGGGTCATAACCTTTAGAATGCACAATCATTGATGAATATACAACAAACAGAAAGGAAACTCTGGTCTAATTTATAAGAAGAAAAATAGGACCAAAGAGCTACAATTTACTCTATATTATCCACTAACACCACCAGTTACTTTACAATCAGCAATGTGCAATGCAGTGTCGTGCAATGTTATCGCACGAGCTGATTGTAAAGTAACTGGTGGTGTCAGTGGATAATATAGCGTAACTTGTAGCTCTTTGGTCCTCTATTTCTTCTTATAATCCTTGGCTCTCCACCCGAAACTCTGGTCTAGATGGTATAGAACGGGTAACTTGACGCAAGACCGGGGCTTTGCCAACCGATGATGGTTGTAGCCAGGAGCACTGTGTTTCTACACAGTGCACCCTCCGCCTTGTAACATGCTGTCAACCAATCAAAACGTTCTAAACCTTGTGTCCCACCCTTTACATGATATCAATATTTTTTCAAGATTTCCGTGGCCTGGCTCACCAACTGAATTCGCAACAAAACGTATTTCCACATATTCCGTACAATGGCCATTCTGGACAGCTGTGATGAGAAAGTGTCTGTGTGATTTGCACCTGCATGCGGGGAACACAGACCCAGGAACACAGACCCGGGCAGGAACACAGGCCCGGGCAGGAACACATACCCGGGCAGGAACACAGACCCGGGCAGGAACACAGGCCCAGGAACACATACCCTGGAACACAGACACTGGAACACAGACCCTGGAACACATACCGTATTTTATCGGTTATAGGTCGAACCCCGGATCCGAAGATCTTATTTCTGTTTTTAAAGTTGTCACCTAACCGAGCACTGCTAACCACTCCCTTTACTAACACATCAACAAATCACATCAACACTCCTCATTGGAGGGTGACATGTCCAAATCATGGAAAAAGGCAAATGAACTGGCAAAAAAGACCTGCACTGCACACTTGTGCATGCAGTGCAGGTCTTTTTGGAAATTGCTGGTAATTCCTGGTTATAAGTCGAATCCCGGTTGCAAGTCGACCCTCAATTTTTCCTTCAACTTTTAGTCGAAAAAGGTTGACTTATAACCGGTGAAATACTGTACCCTAGAACACAGACCCTGGGACACAAACCCTGGGACACAAACCCTGGGACACAGACCCTGGGACACAGACCCTGGGACACAAATCCTGGGACACAAACCCTGGGACACAGACCCTGGGACACAGACCCTTGGACACAAACCCTGGGACACAAACCCTGGGACACAGACCCTGGGACACAGACCCTGGGACATAGACCCTGGGACACAGACCCAGGATGGAGCTACCGCTATTGCTAGATCTGGGACTTGGGGACTGATCTTGGGAAGAGAGCAAGAGAACTAGCAGGACCGTTGGAATCAGTTTTAGATTGGTCTGGCCATACCCTAACCTTTCATACAGTCTGTGTATGATATGGAGGGTATACATATGACCTATTGGCAGTAAACACACACGTTGGTGGCCCAAACGTTGGTCCGGCCATGGCCCGACCAACCGGACCGGTTCTGCCGGGCAAGACTCAACTCGGTTAGGAAGCAAGGCAGAAATCAGGATGGAACCGGTGGGGGACGGGGGGGGGGGGGTAAGTCTGGGAGTGAGTTTGCGGCAGGGGCTGGAACCAGGGGGTGGGGGGGGGGGGGGAGGAGATCAGGACTGGGGTTGGGGCAGGTGCTGTGGCTGGAATGACTGTGTGCATAATTATGGAGATTAAAACAGAACTCGTGCTATGGCCAATCTTTCTCTTTGTGCACACTCCAAGAACACAGAATTCCTGCAACTGCCTTTTTTTCTCTTCGTGCACACATGAGGATAATGGAAGTTGTGCAGCAGTCACTTTCTTCTTGTCTGGCTTGCGGGATGTGCGACATACGTGGAGACAAGTGATTGGTTAGGTGTGCAGCTCCTGGATTTACAGACAACGAAATGAAATCTTAGCCGAGAAGCAAGTTCTGTGTGTTGCACAAAAAAGTCATAAAACTAGAATATGTAAGCCATATCTCTTACCGTTTCCAATATGTATGGTCAGGTGATCAATATTGGAGTCCAGGTGCCGATTGAGTCCTGCAACAAACGTATGCACCAGACCATGGCGGTTCCACAGCCACCTGAACGCTTCCGACGGCTTCCGCATGGCATTGCTGATGATCTCCACGGCATGTCGCCCACTATGGCAGAGGGTTATGCCCTGGGAAACCTGAACAGTAAGTGACAAGATACCCAGAGCAACACAATAATTGGTGTTCATTTGTATCACTGGATCGCGGCGGAGGGCCACACAACAGCGTTGTGAATGACCGAGGATCACCTGTCTGTTCTCACCGTCCAGGAGCGACACTGACTCAGGCTGCTATCTTGTGTTCATGTGGTGTTTGTCGTGCTGGAAATAGAGCCTCTCTGTAAGTTTGTATCCCTGGCGATGTGTTTGTGCCTGGAGAGCACTATATAAGTGATGCTTTTCAGGCACAATCTTCCTCAGCCTACTCAAGCTCAACTGATGAGGGGTGAATTCCCCGAAACACTGTGCATTAAGCAGGGAGTTTTGCTTTCTTGCAGGTTTGCTGAGTCGAAGGTTCGATGGACTTCTTGTGTGCTCTGGATGGCAGACGTGAGTCAGTCAAGTGCCAAGTAAAGTCGGCGGAATAGCGCGAGCTCCAGTGTGGGGAGCAAACCCTTTCCTAATAACCATCGCCAAAGTTGCAACCACTATTTTGTATCGAATATTCTTTAGAAAAAATGTTTGAGCGGCTGCTCCTTCATGCACATATCCATGCACATGCAACCACAGACTTCAAGGTCACGACATCATCCAGATGTACGCTCTCCAGCTCATGACTTACCAATATGGTCAGACTGTGCGTGGTCACGTTCAACCAGCTGGTGTCGATTTCCACGGTCATGTTGCCCACGTCTTCGACGTCGGCCAGTATCGCTATGACGATGGGCCGGTCGAGTGGCTGCTCCGGCTTCAAATGCTGCAGTTCCAGCGACACACGCCGCTCGGTGCCGGGCGAACGGAACAATCCCGGCGTCCATATCCCGTGAACCTCGTAGTTATTGCCGACCGGATGCAGCTTGTCAGCGCAGCCTGCCAGTAGAGACTGAACTGCCAGCTCGGCACGGATACGACTGGATAGCGTTGGCGATGACGACGCCTCCCCTATTGGACACACCTCTTCCAGCAGGCATTTGTCGGGCAGCTGCGGGCGCAGCGGGAGTTCGCAGCTCGTGCTACACACTGACCCTGAGCATGCAGATCAGTCACATGCAGGACATCAGGAATAGAATAGAATAGAACTTAAAAATACCGAGTCCTAGAAATGAATGAGCAAAGCAAATATTGATGAAGACACTCTCCTATATCAACTACCCGTCTTCTATAGCATTTCTATACACGACATTCTCGTGTTAGCACTATTATTCTGCCCGCCTCATAAGCGCATGATGTATGTAAATCCACACCACCAAGCCAGTCAGGATTCCCTAATCCACTTCTTTCCTGTTTAGACGTGTATCTGTAGTATCCCTGCCTTGCTTGATTGTAGCGTATCCCCGTGTTAGCGTATCCTCGTACGTTAGCGTATCCCCGTACGTTAGCATATGCGGTCTGTTGCCTATAAAAGCTGCTGCGCGTTACTGTTTCCATAATTATATTAATTTTTATTACATAATAATCCAGGTGTGTACCTGAGGAAGAATAAACAGTTAATTAGAGTTGAGCACCGTGCCTCTACTCAGCTACCTACTGTTAAAGCCATAATTGTAACGAAGTGCTTACTTTAACGAGTTAACGAGGAGAAATCTGTCGTTAAAATATAAATCGTTATACAGAAATCGATACATATACTGTCCTATTGAGCGTTAAGAATGCGTGAGAATCGTTACCTTTGGTACACGTAAACCAGTCAATTTTGGGAAATCGTTATATATGCGCCTCGTTAGAATATTGGCTTTTACAGTATTACATATCTTTGTGTTTCTTCTTTTCTTTCTATGCTGGTTTTATGGATGGAGCGAACAGGATTTTTCTTGTCTTTGACCACTTTCTTGGTGGGTCTGATCTACCCACCTCCCCCTGCTGTAGGAGCTGCATTTGCGCATTCGTCCTTGAGCTTGGTGGTATTCACACTGGATATCGGTTCCAACCAATTTTCTTCCGGCTCGCATATGGAAGCCGCATGAAATAGGTACAGGTAATACAAGGCCAGTCTGTCACCGTATAGAATTGACATCCGGAATGCAAAACTGTGTTTTTATGTGATTTTAACCCTCTAAACAGTTTCACATTCCGGATAATTATCATTATTGTCAAAAGCTGTCTATTCATCCTGAATGCATCGGTGTGTGTGTGCCTTATGGATCAGTGAGAGCAGATTGTGACCCAGTTCAATTGCTCCCTTTTATAATAGAGAAAGAGCACGAATCAACTGCAGGATGACATCATTCTCAGAACCTGCAATGAAGCCAAGTCACATCTGCCGTGATCTGATGTCAATCGAAAAATTGCAAGCTACACTACCTGGACTATTATTTACTTTGTCCAAGTGCTATAAGTAAGAAGCGGAGTTCATGCCGCGGATATCGTTGTGTTTTCATGTCAATGTGCTTCTATCGCTGGGGACAATGTCACGGGTGGCAATGTGGTGACGTGATTTTCCTGCTCGGAACAAGAGCATCTTGCCAGCATGACGATACTGGTGAAGAATGACAAGAAGGAGCCGAAGATGAGAGTAACACGGTCGCTGCGTGTCAGTGTGCACTGCAATCCATCGCCACACTGACATCCAAGTGCCCTGACTCAAGCTCTGAAGTGACAGAACAGTGCACGTACGGCCAGGAAAGAAATACTAATAGTGAGTGTCGGATTGCAATAGCTGGATCAAATGTCATTCGACCTTTGCGCTGGTGATGGATAAACTGCACAATGGCACAGTTTGGCCCAGTGCACAACCAGCAATCCTTCAGAACCATCAACGTTGATCCTTGGATGGAGGATGCCACGATCATCGCTCGGAAAAGATGAACGTGTCCTTGCACTCAAAACAAATCTCAATACTCTACCAGGCATAGACATGTCTGCAGTTAAGCAGGTGTGGTGATGGCACACTCCACGAGAGAATGACATGGTCATTGAACAGAGCAACGCTAGAGGTGGCATCTGGTGTGCACTTGCTAGCGCCGCAGCTACACAGGACCTGCTGCATGTGCAGATGCAGTGACATGTAAATTCTCCAACCCACGTTGTTTCCCCGTGACATTTCATGTAAACTGTCCACATTGACGTCAGATCGAACTTACTTGTCAGTGTGATGCATGCGCAAAGGTAGTTTAGAATTCAGGTAGAACCGTATCACATGGCACATTTCCAAATATGTCACCAGACATCGAGTGGAACTGGTACCGACCCGAGAGGGGGGGGGGGGGGTATTCCAAGCATGCCTTCCCTTCATGGACCCTTATCTTGACAGTTTGGGGGGGGGGGTTGCCCCCTGACTCACTGACTCACTGACTCACTGACTCACTGTCGTTGTGGATGTTCCTGTTTGTATTTTCTCTCCCACATACATGTAGCTTCAGATCTAATGCACTACCTGACCACTAAGGCATCTCGGCTCATCCATTTATAATAATTATTAATGCAAAGAGGCCTTCCGGACACATGCCATTGTACAATGTGTGACATATGTATGAATCACTGTCGTACCACTTAGATACGGCGTATTGCAATGAGCCGCTAAACAGCTTTGTCGCAGTGTTACCACAGAGTAATAAGACAGTATGGTTGAACGGCTTGTATTCACATCCGCCCATACAACCCTGGCATGTGCCGAGGTGAACATCTGGTAACACTGCCAGCACACAAAGCCATCACTACCAGCACACAAAGCCATCGCTACCACCACACAAAGGCCTGACTGGCATTGATGGGAGGCACGTTACCACTTAGAATATGTACACCTTCGGTATGGCTGATACATGACAACAAGATGCTAAACTCCTGCAAGACACTAATCTACCATCTGGTTTATTGAGTGCTGACACGAGTTTGAGTACCTAGCACTTCACTTCAGCATTTTCTCTAGCCGTGCTCCATGTGGAGCTGGTGAGAACCACCCTGTCAGGAATGTGAGATCTAGGACAAGTTTTCAATGCCACTGCCTCCCCAAGTCAAGCTGCTGTTACCAAGCTGCTGCCGTCACTCCCACCATATCTCCGGGGATGCAATGGCACATTACAAGTGACCACTTGAGCCATCAAGAGGTACTCCAGTAGGCTCAGGATCTGGAGATGCTACGCCCAAAACTCTTTACAGCACTACTAGTAATACTAGTTCTACTGTACATCTCCTATCCCCTATCTGCATGGGATCAGACAACTGTTGGGGGGGGGGGGGGGGGAAACTTCATCAGCTTTCTGGACTTCTTCAGTGTTCAGTGTCTGCTGCTCTTCCAGCCTACATCAGCGGCTTCAGTTTTCAATGCGCACCCCACCTTTAAATACTTCGCCAGGCCTTAACTAAACTAGGTCGGTGCTGGCTAGAGAAACCCAACCTCATGACTAAAATAGCACGGGGGGGGGGGGGTGGGAGGCTTCACAGCCTTAGTACTACACATACTGTTCTGTGCACTGGAGCAGGGCACTACTTTATTCATAAGGTTGCTAGGTACTGCAGTCAATCCTCGGTAGTATAGTGGTAAGTATCTCCGCCTGTCACGCGGAAGACCCGGGTTCGATTCCCGGCCGGGGAGGACATTTCTTTTTTTCCACAATGGTTGTTGCGCTGAGTAAAAAAAGTTCTGGAGAATATGGGGTTCGAACTCATGGCCTCTCCTCTCGCATGCAAAGCGAGCGCTCTACCACTGAGCTAAACCCCCTCACATATGACGGAATGCAAAATAGTTCACCAATCATCTTCTTTGCCGCTTTCTTTTAATACTGCTAGCAAAGATTGTTTGGGGAGTTCACAACTCGACTTTTGTTACGTTTCTCTAGACCGAAGTCAAACTAAGGAAATCCCTCATAACAAGTGCAAGCAAAAGTTCCATATTTGGAGAGGACGCCGTAATTACATACATGTTTGTTCGACTGGACTAATAAGTAATAGTTATCATGATTGTTAGCATGGACTGCGGACGGGCGCTTGCCGGTGATTTTGCAGTAGAAGGCCAAAGCCGTGGCCCGTTTTAACCAGCACTTCAGCAAACACTGTCAGTGTTCAGAGGGTGCTGCCGACTGGCCTCCACTATAGAAGCACATGCAATGAAGGTCAAGAGAGACCTCAGTCTTTATCAAGCAATCCTCTCAGTCATTCTGATGCAGGCACTTAGCGGAGAAACGTTACTCATCAGAAGGTCGCCTGGAGAAGGCTGCCACTTTCCCCTGTCCACTCCCTTCACTGACTGTATGTCAGAGTGCACTTGGACACTGTTGGTCCCAGTTTCCAGACCTGCAGTATTATCTCCTGATGGGCATACTACTCGTATTGTATTGTATTGTGCAGGTGGCAAGCTCTCCCCTCTACCCTATCAAGGGCCAATGCTACATTGCCAGCCAGCACACTACGCTAGTGAAAAGGGGCCAAACAACTATCTAAACATCCATCACCCCATATGCACACTCATCACAAGCACATCATGTTGCTCTTGCATGCACACGTTCCCGTCGTAGAACATGCCATATCTGAGTGGCTTGGTCTGACGTGCAATACTCCACAAAGCAGATTGAGGTGGAGTGCTGCGCAAAGTGCTATCAAGTGCCTGCAGCTACTACTGGGTCCATGGAGGGGTGTTCAAGGAAGCACCGTGCATTCCCCACAGCTCCATTGTCATTGTCCTAACAGGAATAACACTGTCCTATGCTGTGGTAGCTAGCTGTTCAGGGGAACTAGATCTCACAATACTAGATTTCTGTCAGTCTTAGTGCAGCAGCAGCAGCAGCTGCGTAGAACACCAGTGCCAATCCAGATGGTTGCAGATGGCTGCGGCTTGTACAAGACACACATTTCAAACATGGGTACACGATTTATCAACACCCCTGCGCAGGGCTAGGGCAAAGTCCCCAGTCCTCATATTAATGGTGGCTGTGCAAAGTCCTGAGTGCTGATGAGGCACTGCCTCCAGGTTTAGGGAAATGCTGTATGTGAGTGGTTGTGACCAGGCACACAGGGTTTGGTACTGTTGTAAAACTTCAGTATAAAGAACCCTGGACACTGCAAGCTTTTCTTTTTGGAACCTTCAAAGTTGGAAGGCTTTTGGCTTGCGCAATCCAGACGAGATGCAGCTAAGCGTCAGGGGGTTGAATGCCAGTATCACATTAGTCAGTTTTGTGCTAATTGTTGCACATTTTTGACTCACCATTATCCTGCTTATAATCGTTAGTGCTGGACAAAACGGATATCTTGTAATAAACTTATGGTCCTCTCTTTTTTAATTTTCTCTTTGCACTGGATATTGAGGACCCGGTACATGCTATTCCATTCACCTTGGACACACAGTAACTGAACCCTGGTGTACTACGACTAGAGCTAGCTATGGCCGATGTCTGCAGTTTATCCCTCTCTCTGGCTTGGTACAGCGCGAGTACAGGTACTCTTAGATGCAAAGTCAGTGCTCACCGACTTTGCATCATACCCATGTGGAACTCAACAAATGGCCACATACACAAATACAAACTAAAATACAAATATACACACACACACACACACACACAGACACACACACACACAGGTCAGCAGATGATCAGAGTTCCACTATGGCCCCCTTAAGAGTGCTCCTTTCTCAGGTATGCCCACCCTGACATGTGACACATTAGTACCTGCATCAATACTGCTTGTAACCATTTAGCTCATATCGGCAGATGGCCACAAAGCCATGCATGTACTTGATGTACTACTACTAGTTGAGGGCACACTACAGCATGGGCTACCATAGACCATCCCACATTCCAGTCGTGCCAAATACACTTGGGTTTACCAACAGAGATCAAACTCAGCTTTTTAAAAATTATGTCCTCAAGTGCTACTGACAGGTTCAAACCGCATTGCTATCCGGCTGATGCATTGCTCCCACTGTTCTATATACCAGTAGTTTCCATAGTAGGAATTTGCTGTCATGTGATTTCAAACATTCAGCATCCTCTCTGTCAAAGTGCTCAGATTTCGCCATCAACTGACACAGTCGTTGATCGCTTAGTTGTCTGTGGATTCACTACTCCAGCCACTACTGTCGCTGCGCACACTTCTCCACAGTATGCTTTCTGATTGCACACAGTACGGTATGTGTGTGTATGTAGTAGTAGCAGTAATAATACTACTCCAACCGCTTCTGTAGCTGCACAAACTTCTTCACAGTGTGCTGTCTCTTTGTACCCAGTACATGCACCTGAAAAGGGACAATGAACACTTGCCACATCTTCTACACTACAGAGCATAACTACATCCACTCACCACAACTCTCTAACTTTCTCTGGAATTAATTTCTTCCACTGGAACTATCCAGCTGCGCGTGCCAAAGCACCCAGCATACCATTTCAGAACTCTGTGGGGTACTATTCTCACACAAGAGTGATCTTGGAGAGAGAGAGAGAGAGAGAGAGGAATTAATACTCATTTCAGAACTCAGTGGGGTGCTATTCTCGCACAAGAGTGATATTAGCCTCGGAGAGAGTGGAACTAATCCTCTCCAATCTCCAAACCGTGACAATGAGCACAGTAGACATCTCAAATTGGCTCTAAATTTAGGCTCAGCATTCTTGATTCTTGTGCACTCCCCCCCCCCCCCCCCATCCTGTGGAGCCTACCTGTATCAGTATTCAACTGAAGCTTACAGTAAATTATTGTAATGTGGAAAGGGAGTGCTTGGAGTGGAGTGCCCGGCCCAGCCCAAACTTAGCCATGATTTCACCTCAGTACACTGTTGAGCCTCTCTTAATTTCTCTGACAGGTTGTTCAGATTGAAGGGTAGGTCTAATGCTTGCCCATGGACCCTCTAGGATCTTCCAATCAGATGCACAGAATCAGTCCCCAAACGGTCCATGATGTCCTCAATCCAGTACAAGTTGTAACACTGCCAGCATCTCTCCCCGGGAGTGTGCCCTGCCAAGTGGCAAAACAATGCAGCAAGCTGCAGATGCTGATTGCGTGGCCATGGCCAGTTAGCCCAGTATGGCAGTAAGGGCAGTAGGGCCAGGAGCCCTAGAAACTCCAGTATGGCTAGCAAGGCCAGCAAGGGGCCTGGCAAGCAGCACCCAGGTTTAGACAGTCACATTTAATGCTACTTGGTTGCAGAGGAATGCTACTTGGTTGCAGAGGAATGCTACTTGGTTGCAGAGGAATGCTACTTGGTTGCAGAGGAAATATCAGCAGGTTATACATAGTGGGTGATGTCTTCACTCAAAGCCAAAGCCAGTGTGTCCCCCAGTCTGCAGGCCATGGCAGCCGATGATGACTTGGTTCTCAACTGGAGAACACTGCTCAATGACATCAGGACTGAAGGCGCATACAACACATTGCAGGGATGGCGGAACTGTTTGGCTACCACTATTTTCCGCTGAGGAGATCATCTGGTCAACATGCGTAAAACGCATTCAGTGTCCTAGCACGCATGTATGCACATTGAAAAATACAGGTGCAAGGATGAGGGGGGGAGGTGGAGCTATTAGTATTGTTCTACCTAGCTTTGTCCCAGCTGCTTACTCAGTTGAAGCACGTCCACGGAACATGAACCACACATGGAGGAGAGAAAGTAATACAATCTGGCACTCAGACACTAACTACCAGTCCCCTTCACACAAACATTTACACTACGTTCCTATAATTTGCAGTTTCTACTCCAATATGAGACAAATGAGTAGAAGCCTCTAAGTCTAATGCTCCATGGAACATCACTGCCACTTCTGAAGGCACGGCCCAATCTTCCTGAAGTACCTGTGTCCTGTTTAGCATCACCACATCAATGTAGCTGGTGGAATTAAGGAAATCGTGCAATCTGGTGTCAAAACTATCATGTCCAAACATAACCAAGGCAGCCTCAGTGGCTCTGTTCTGGAAGCAACTACAAGTGGAGGTGTACACAACATGAAGCAGGACAGGAGCCACTCAATGAGGTTATTACTGATGCCATGGCTATGTGGCCACATCTACACGATTTCTGCACATATTGCATCATATACAACATGTGTAATGACATGGACCCCATAGCTTCAATAGCCGGATAATTATTGTGAATCATTTCAAAACTAATCGAGTTGGTCCTCTGCTAGCCATGTCATCTGTAGCAAGGCGAGCCTCAGCTCCACTTTACACACACACACACACACACACACACACACACACACACACACACACACACACCACACACACCACACACACACACACACACACACACACACACACACACACATACACACATACACACACACACACACACACACACACACACACACACTTCGAGAGCACTAACACGTTATACTAGTATTTGCCATAATTCAGTAATCCTTTTGGCAAGATGCTTACAACTACTAATCCCCAAGTGTATGAACACACACCTGTGGGTAAGTGAGCACGCTGATATTCGATTTAATAGACCAGAAATTGAATTTCGCCTACGCCCTCACTTCACAGCTGCGCAAATTACTCGGATCCCGCCACCCACGTCAACATGCATACTGTCCATCATCTAGCAAGGATGCATGGTCCATGCCACAGTTCAACTTGGAGGGAGATAAAATTAATGTAATACTCCTTGGCAAGTCACACTGGAATTGCCGGCACGTTGTTAATGTTGAGTACCTATGATTCTACAGCCGCCTGGACGCCTGGTTATCCTTAAACAGGCAAACTAAACTGGTGTCATCCTCAACAGAAGAACACTTTGAC